GAGCGCGGGGTGGTCGCGGCGGCGGATCAAGCGGAGGCGGCGGTGGTCCGGGTTCGTCGGGGTGGTGGTGGAAGAGGAGGGGGTTCGGTGCTGGGAGGAAGAAGAAGAAGAAAGAAAAGATGGGGTTTTTTCTTTTGAGTGAACTGTTGAAGATGGTGGGTGTACGGTGAAAAGAAAAAGAAAAGTTTATTTTATGGAAGGGGAGAGAGAGAATGATGTGAGAGAATATGGGGTAAAAAAGGAAGGTGTATTATGGGGAATGATTTGAATTGATTGGGGAAAAATTGGTAGGAATTCAAATTCAAATGAGAAAAATAAGGGAGGGAAAATTCAAAAATTTCACATAATATTCTGAATTATATTAATAATTAATAATCAACCAAAAAACTTTTTATTAATATTTATATACTACTGTACTATACTCAAGTTTACATCAATAATAACAAGGTCATTAATAATATTAATCACCAAATGATTATATATAAAATTCACTAAACCGTAAATTAATATTTAGCAGAATTAAAAAATACAAGACTATATATTTTATTATTTATTTATTTTGAAAACTCAAAAAATTCCAGAAATTAGGAAAAGTATTAATAAAATATAATATAATATTTTAAATACTAGAAAAATTTATTTAAATACGTATCAAAATTCACGGTTGTTACATCCTATCCCCCTTAAAACAAATTCCGCCATCGGAATTAAAATAAAATTCAAGGACAGAGATATGGGACGATATCCATAAACAAAGGAGACAAGAAACAAGGAACAGTTGAAAGTTACGAGACAAGAAATAGTGGAAAGATCCGGAGTCAAAAAGTGATAAGATAGGGACGAAATGAAATCTATTGAGATGAGAGGATAAGGGCTCAAGGATAGTCTTACGGATGAAATATGATATGCATCTAAATTGTCTACCATATTCTTACTAGTGAGGACTCGGGACCGAGACCTGCATGGGCCACCAAAAAAAACCTGTCACGCCCCGCTTCCCAAAATACACGGGAACCGGAACGTGAACAAGCCCGCGACGTATTAGATTGAGAAGAAATATACTCTACTTTTTTTTTCTCTTCTTTTCTTCTTAATCCAATACACTAAGCATCTGGAAATAAGTACAATACGAAGTCACAGGTCCCCGATCACACATAGCAAGAATATAAAGACAACCCAGAATAAAAATAGACATATCATCAATGGTAAATCATCCCAGACATAAAATACGGGTCAAACATGCCCTTATACAAATCCGAACAAATGAATACTAAAGAGATACAAAATACACTGATCAAATAGAAATGGAATGTAGTACAAAAAAAAACTGAGGACCAATAACTAAACTTTGGCTTCTTCTTCTGCTCCATCCGCTAGGCACTCCTGCTGAGAATCCTCTGGCTCCTGATGATTTCCCAGTTGAACCTGTTCTTCCTCTAAGTCTGACGTACACCAGAGAAAACAGGTGTACGTCAGGTGCATGGCGCACGGCAAGACCCGACCCCACAAAACAAATAGAGCGAACAAAAACCCAATGCGAAAACGAAATAACAACATAAATGATAAAGAAACATGCAACGGAAATCCAATAAAATCAATCAAGTAACAAGACGATCATGCAGCTAGCGATCAGAAATCATCCAAGCAACAAGGTCATACAATAGATGGAATTAATACTTAAAAATCTACAACTCGAGACGTAGTACGTCGAGCGAAATAATCCAAACAAGGAAACCCTCATGTATATACCATATGTCTCGAATTGAAAATAATTAAATATTAATCCCGATCTAGGTATGGAAAGAAACAGAACTGGCCTATATCTCACAAGGATCAAAACTCATCCAAGTAACAATTCATGTAACTAGCCATTCTATAACAAGTCACTGGTCCCACCGTCTAACCCCAATGCGTATCGGTTCACTGACCCAACAGACTAACCCAGTGCGTATCGGTTCACTGGCCCAATAGACTCACCCAGTGCGTATCGTTTCACTGGCCTAACAGACTATCCAGTGCGTATCGGTTCACTGGCCTAACAAACTAATCCAGTGCGTATCGGTTCTCTGGAGAGACCCTAGAGGATACATAAACAGTCACGTCTAATCACATGTACCAAGATTTCCCATCCCGGCTCTTCTTATTTTCTAAGCCAACAACACACAAGCCTCTAAATCTTATTCATGTCACACAGATCACTATAGTCATAAACTCCTAACGATTCTCAATTATAATAAAGAATGATAAATGCAATAAATACTAATTAACAGTGTCGTGGATCATGAACAGGAATCGTGAACAACTACTAATAACCATACAAGATGAAACTACATCTATCAAATAAATATACATGAAATATCGAAATTTCCAATCATCATGCTCATAAATTTATTAATTCCAAAATAAATCCTTTTAATTTATTTCTCATAAATTATTCAAAAATAACCTTTTAAATATATTATTATTATATATTATTCCATATGAACAGTAACTGTTTTATTTTTTTCTTTTTAATTATTCTAATTTTCTTTTTCGATAACAACTCTTAAAATTTATCTAGCTTTCAAAATGCAAGCTTGTCATTTTATATTCATCATTTCACAAGTAATCTACCACAATAATACTTAACAACATTCATCATCATCCCACGCATAATATCATAATCTAAACAACATATATAA